AATTTACACAGCTAAGAAAATTTTTATATTAGCACATTTATCAAAGAGCTCAACTAATGCGTGTAGTAGTCTACATACTGCTGAGCAAACTAGAAATCAGAGAATGAACCCGATGAAAAGACTAAGGATGAAAGCATTAGTTTCTGCAGATGGCCGAGTGATTCCCTGGTGATTTTGCGCTAAATCGTGTAATGAGGTCTAAAACCATCCATATCCATTTTAAAAGAGAACAGCTAAATAGACAGCCTGAAGAAATAGGAATTCTGAGATTCCTAGTCAAGTTCAGAAGTCATGCACATAGGGAAAAAGCTCCTGAGCCAGAGCTAATTTCTTTACAGGAGTCTTCCTCACCTTCTGTCTCCATGTCTTGCCCCTTTGGAGCTTCCCCGATATCAATAGTGAACATCACTATCTTGGGAGTCATGGTGGACATTCTGTTGCTAAAGCAAAACTTGTAAGTCCCATCCATGTGGGCGGCAAACGTGTATTTTCCACTGGACTCTCGATCGCCTTTATAAATTCCTTTATTATCAGGCCCTGTAATCTGGATGGGGAAAACAAATTATCATACATTTTATTTAAAATACAGCAGTTTTAAATACACCATTACAGCACTGCATGCATATTCTGAAATTATCCGGTCAGATTTACCAATACCATCTGTAATCTGACTGGTTTGGCATTCTTAATACTTTCCCTCTCACAAGTCAACAGCAGTGATGTGTTTTTCTGCACAGAGTTGTTTTGGTTTTTTTTTTTAAATGAAAACAAACCAAAAAACTTCTTGGTAAAGAACACCATACATAAGCCTCTCTTACTGGCCAAGATTACTGACCTTCCATACTCAAGATAAGAAGCATTCAAGAACAAGTAAACCAGCTATTGACAGCCCTGGCTGTTAGCCAAATTAACTGCAGGGGAAACCTTATGTCTGACATTTGAAGGAAAACAAAAAGGGAAGAAAGACATTCTCCCATACGTCAATACTATTGTACTGACAATACAATAGTAACTGACTACAGTTGTGTATTGCTGCAGTTACTGTTTCCAATGGACTATGGGCCTGAATACAGAGCGCTCAGGGTGACTGTGATCTTAAGACTTCCATCCCATCAGGCCACCGAACGCTGCTGCTGAGCTTCCGTTAGTGACATCTGAATGGGATTTCATAGCTTCCTGACTCTGTCCCATATTCGAGCGATGCGTAATTTTAAACAATTATGTTCATTCTCAGCAACAACTCTCTCACGATGAATTTATCCCAAACAACTATGTACTCTTCACCAAGACAGAAGAAATTCTTTTTTATTATTCTCCTACTGGTGTGAGTGAGGCCTCATTGAGGAAAAGGACTTACCTACAACTTTGCAGACAGCAAACAACCTGATTAAAGACAACACCTTCTGATTCAAGGGGAGACGCGCTGCTCCCAGAATAAGCAACAGGTTTTTGTAAAGAGCAATCCTATTCCTTCTTCCCACCAAACAGTTTATTATGACAAGCCTACACCGAGCAGAATAACGAAGAAAACCTCCAGAGAACGGCCCCGAAAGCATGAAGACTGCCTCCCGCAGCAACAGCGGAAACGACGAGCAGCCTTAGCCGAGGCACCTCGTCCCCTCCCGGACCGCCCAGGCCACCCGCCGAGGCCCGGGAGCACTCCTGTCCAGCAAGCCGACGGCGAGACCGCCCCACGGAGCCCCGGCGACGAGGCAGGACCGTCCCAAACTTCACGGACGGTTTTTCAACCCCCCTCAAACCGGCGTTCGCCCCCTCGCCTCCACAGGGCACCGACGCCGCTGCCCTCCCGGGCGCTGCCCCGAGCCGCCACGGCCTCCCCACCCCCGCACCCGGCACGCAGGGCCCGGCCGCCGGGGCAGCCCTCCCCCTCAGCACGGCACCCGCGGCCCAAGGGCAGCCCGCCGCGGCGGCGTCCCGCCTCACCTCCACGTCGATGTCCAGGAAGCCTCCCTCCGCCACCTCGAAGATGAGCCCCATCTTCGTGCCGGAGGGCACCCGCTCCAGGAAGCACTCCTCAGCGTGCGCGTCGATGCTGACGAAGTAGGCGGCAGCCGGGGCCGCCAGCGCGGCCAGCAGCGCCAGCACCGCCCGCACCGGCGACATGGCGGAGCCCAGCGGGAGGGGGCACCGAGCGGCGGGCCAGCAGGAAAAGGGATGGGGGGCTTCCGCCTCGCGCCACGCCCCTTCCGGGGCACGGGGCCGCCGCTCATAGGCCGGCGCGGCCCCACTGCCACGTACGGCCTGCGCTACGGTGGCCATTGAGGGACCGTTCGGAAAGGGACCGCCTCAACCCTGAGGCGCAGGAGGCGGGGCCCGCCCTCGGGAGAAACCAGTGAGCACGGAGCAGGGGCAGAGCCGCGGGGCGAGGAACCAATCAGAACGAGGCGGGGAGAGCTGTCCTGTCAGAAGGAGCGGGGCGCCGAACGGCATTGGGCGGGCAGCTGAGGGGGCGTTGCCCGGCTAGCGGGGGAGGGACGGCGGGAGCGCGGGAGGCCGGCTGGCGGCTCCTGAGGGGATTTGGGCGGGCGGCTGTCACCGCAGTCCCGCGCGGCCCGAGCTGCTGAAGCCCGGGATACCCAAACTTGCTACAGCAAGGCAGAGGTTTGGGGAGCAGCTGACGACCAAGAGAGTAACGGGGAAGCCCAGTTTGTGGGCTATTCATTGCGCACAGGAAAACACAGTCAAGATACGCGGCAGGCTCCTGCACCACCCAAGGCAGACTGTGCATAAAAAGCCATTCCTTGCATGGCCATGCTTAAATGCTAATTTTCAGTTGAAACTTCCAGTCAGAAATACGGAAGGTCATGCTTGAGCTTAAGGAAGTCTGTTTTCGTGACTAGCTGATTTAATTATCCGCAGAAGATTTAAAGACTAAAGCACAATCTGGCTTTCTAGTGAAATATTTATGTGTTTGCCAAGTAAGCGCCAGTTATTGTACTCAAACATTGCGTTTGTCTTCAGTTGTATGACAAATGTTAACCCAAATACTTGATTTATGTAAGTAAATTCTGCTCATCTCACTCAAGCTGCCAGTTTTGAGCTAGCAGAGCCGGCTGTGTTAGTGCAGGCTCAGGGTGTGGACTTGTGTGAAAAGGAAAGCTTTTGGCAAGAGAAGCATGAACTTGAGGAGTTGCAGGTCACTTACATGACTGGATAAAAGACCTCTCCTGCCAAGTCACTGAAAACTCCTATTGTTTTCAATGAGTTTGGATCATGCCAACCTTGAACCTACTGCTTTCCATAGCATAAACTGCTGTGCTGGTTTTTCATCTATCTCAGTAGTAGTTTTAGTCTTGTCACTAGCGTGTTCTCGAACTTATTACTTTTTTCCTCTACATGCATTTGTACATAACAATGGGAACTCATTTAATACTAAATTCTGGTGGCATGAACTCTTTTTTCTCATCTATAACTCAGACAAAATGATGATTTCACAGCATATCTGTTCCCCTGAGGGACTGCCGAGTGTTCTCTAAATGTTCTGCTCATACTGCTACCCCTCCTCGTGCTTTCGTGAGCGATCTTTGCCAGGAAAGGATGACTACTCCATTATTCACCCTCATGCTCCCTCTGGAACTTTGTGCAATATCCTGCGGTGTTCAATTTTGGCAATAAATTTCATGAATGATATGTAGATATATTTTCACATGATATCATTGATTATTATTCTAAGTTAGACAACTGAATGTCAAACTCAGACCTTTGGAGGCTGTTTTGTTATCCTTCTGGCTGCCCAGCTCAATGAAGATGAGTGCCTACTGGCAGCGCATGAGGAAGATCAAAATTTTGTAACTTGTGACAGAAGGAGATAGTGACAGTATTGCATGAAAAAGTTTGTCTGAGTGTCACAGTGTTGCATTTCACGTCATTCATACCTCCCATTCTCTTGCATTGGCCTTCTGCATCTGCCAAAAATAGAGAATTAGTGCAGCATTCATTCACAACACGCAGCACGTATCAGTTACTCCAGGCCTGGCTTTTGCAACTCCAGTTTTAATTCTCCTGACTAGTTCCAGTGTTTGATGTTATTCATAGTACCTTTTCCAAAAAATAACGCATTATTCCTACACTGCATACAGGAAGTGGCGGGAGCTGGACCTAAAATTATTTCAGGGCACATTTAATTTATCTGTAAAGACTTATCTGGAGCACCTCTTACTAAACACCGTGAGAGTAAGAACATTTAAAAGTGCACAGTCACGCTGGAGGGCAAAAATACTGAAAAACTTAACCAGAAAAAGACATTTTGGTTTAGTTTAAACTCCTCTGTAAGTGGATCCATGCCAGCAAACCGCTCGGATGTATAAAAACTCCACTGATACTCTGAACACGTGTACAGGCGTAAAGACTGTCTTACTCTGCTCCTGCGGAGCGAGGGCCTAAAAACCCTGACGACGTGCGAGCCGCTGGGTGCGGGACCCTCGCCGTCCTGCAAAATGACTTGTTCACCCCGTGACGTTTGCCTGCAGCCATCCGTTAGCCTTCATCCTCTTTTGGAGCAGGGGGCTCCTCTTTCCCCCTTCCGTCCCGGTACCCCACGCGAGTCCGCTCCGAAGGCAGGCGCTGAGCTCGCTCTCGGGCGCCGTCGTACCACAGACACACGGCTGCGGCCCTGCCGCCGCTGCAAACCCGCTTCGGTGCTGGATATCGTCTGCGTGGGACCCCCAATCCTCAACACGCGTGGGTGTGACTTCTGACCCTTCAAACACGCAGTGAGCACCTCCGGACGACGAAGCCTTTGGGCAGAAGAGGCTGACAAGCACCAGTAATCCCGCCTGCTGAAGCGACTCGGCGCAAGCCCCGAGCTTCCAGCACCCGCCTTTGGTGATGCGCCGCTCCCCCAGCGCAGGGAAAGCACAGCACCGGCTTTCACCCCGACTCCTCCCGGCGGCAATCGGCCCGGGAAGCGGCGAGAGCGGAGCCGCAGCTCCCGCAGCCCGCTGAGG